AGACATCAGGTTGCTCGGAATCTTTCTTTTGCTGCCACTTCCTTGCCAGGACCTGGGCCTCTGCCCAAGCCACTGCGACAAGCCCTGGCATAACTCGCTCACTCAGTGGCAAATCGTCGGCACTCCCCACGTATAAACTTCATCCCGAAGCCAAACTTCTGTGATTGTCCAAGGCCTTTCACCACAAAGCTTGAGTTGTCCAGCTTAACCATAATCTTGCAGCATCCTGCAGGCTTGACCGTGTAGGAATGGTTGCCAACAGGCGGTGTCTCAGGCATGGCATCCGCTGGTAAATGGAGGAGCGTGGGGTAATACTTCATCAAAATGTTTCCAAGCCGCTCCTTCTGCTGCAGAATGCTCCGCAAGTCTGGGTGGCTAAGCTTGTCCCAGTCCCCCGACTCATCACGCTTGCGTTTCCGCTCTGCGCGAAGGTCAGCCCGACCGCCGAAACTCACCGTGCTCTCGTGTTCAGACGACATGTTTGGAAACCGTCGGCAAAACTCGGGCCTTAATGACTGCGGCGATGCAAGTCAAGGGCAGGACGACAAGCAGCAACAATGCCCGTGCACTCACACAACAACAAAGCCTAGCAGTGCTCATGCACATGCGAACACCACACTCCGTGGCTCGATGCATTTTTTCAATCCAAGGCCACACAACTTCAGCCTCAAAAACACTGTGCGTTGTGGCTGGCGGCGGGCCTGCCTCAGTCTCTACTCAGAGGAGAACACAGTGACTGGTTTTGAAGTTCCAGCAGCTGCGTTTCCGCAGCTGGCGGCAGCACGCTGCTTTGCGCGCTGATCTTGGTGCCATGGCGAATTGTTGATGATGGGTCCAACTTGGACACGGCCAATTTGATCGCACTCGGTGCCAGGGACCTGGTCGGTTGTGTCGACCAATAGAAACTCCGGATCCTCAACCTGCATGTCAGCGTCCTTTCCTTCTGCATCAGATTGCTGTGCTGCAGTGATCTGCTCGATGTCATCAGGATGCCAGATGGCGTTGCCAGGAAAGAGAGAAAGTGGCATGAACCTGCGAACCATGTCAACGTCTCGGCTGTGAAGGGCCTTCAGCATCACCCGTGGTTTTGGCACGGGGTCACTGATTGGCAGGCAAAGTATCGAGGAATAGTCCTGGGACCACTCAACCAGGTCAGACACGCGATCGAGCTCGTCCTGCCAGCCCCAAATCAAGAAGCGCTTCTCCCAGGAAGCATGGGAAATGGGCCCATAATTTCCACCCTAAGGGGCACGTTGAATGTCATACACCACACACCGCAACTGATAATGCTTCCACTTGTACTCGTTGATGGCACATATCAGGTTCTTCGTGGGCCCTTGCACCAGCTGAACCCAAGGCCGATGCTCGATCCACTGCTGCACTGAGGAAGTGCGAGTTTCGTGATTGCACCAGTCTGCTGTTTCCTCTGTGTAATGTCTTTCCAGATAATCGTCGCTGTTCACATGAATGAACACTCGCAGATCCCTGAACTCCTCCATGCAGATGGGGCTCCCTTTGCGAAACACGATGGCTTGATCCAACTGTTCCAGTATCTCCGCATGAAGCTGATAGAGCGGGAAGAAGCTGGACTTCCACGTCACCAAGCAAGCGTGGTCGCCTGGCTGAAACCGTGCACTGTCCACGTCGGCCAACCATGACGACATAATTACTGTGGTAGCACAGTAATGTCTGTGGGAAGAGGGACTGACGCGCAGTAGCCTAGATGTGAAGCGAAAACATCTGCAGGGCAATAACATCAATCAACAACATGGCAACTTTCAAGGACAGTCGCAACTTGCAAGGTCCAACACGCAATGCTTGCTCTTTTGTTTATTTGCCCATCACGCGATGCCATGGTCTGCTGCGCGCCCGCAGCAGACATTGCCACAAGGTCTAGTTTACATCATCAGCGGGAGGAGGTTTCACAAATTTGCGTTGCCTTCACTCAGGACTTGGCATTGAAGCTATCGCATTCTTCCTCTCTGTGCTCTCAAGCCAGGCGTTCCGGGCAGCATTACTATCCAGGCCGTTCTCGGCAGCGTTGTCAAAGAAAGCTTTTCGGGTATTTTCATTATTTGTGGTTTTCTTTGACGCGCCCTTGGCTTTGGCCTTGCCTTTGGCTTTGGCCTTGGCTTTGACCTTGGCCTTGGCTTTGGGCTCTTTCTTGGCCTTGGCTTTGGCCTTGGCCTTGGCTTTGGCCTTGGCTTTGGCCTTCGCTACTGGACATGGAGGATCTTCTCCTGCGTCTTTGTCTTCTTCTTCTTCTGCTTCTTCTTCTTCATTCATATCTTCGTTCTCGTCCTCCGGCTCTTCAGAATCATCCCATCCCCCCGCCTCGCCGAAGAGCTGCTCGATGGAAGGCTCAGCCTCCTGGTTGCCAGAGTCAGGCTCATCGCAATTGTCGTTCTTCCTCAGGCTCGGGAAAAAGTTGCCTTCTTCAATGCCACCGCTCATGAATGGCAATGCTACTTACTGGCTTGAGGGGCTCATGATTGGGCTCTCAAGAGCACAGGTCGTGGACTGCAAATGGTTCTCCGTGCACTGTCAGTTCAAAAGACAGGACACTCACAATTGCAGCAGCGTGTTTATCCCATTTTCCTCCCAGCGCTCCGAACTGCAATCTGCCCTGGGTCTGTGATTGCTTCGCTGCCAACAGACATGTCCCGCTATCAGCATTATTGTCATGCGCTGGCTAAACAAAAGAATGCACAAACTGTGGCACCACAGTTTGTTTAGTCATCACTACCCACAGAGTCTTCACTCAGATTCTCCTCCTCGACGTCCTCTTCATCTTCAATTTCTTCGTCTTCTTCGTCTTCTGCAATCAGATCCTTCTCCGACTTCTTCGGAGCCGCCTTCATCTTTGCAGCCTTCTTTGGCTTCGGCTTTGCATTGGCACCTCCCCGCGACTTTCGCTTCTTGCCTGTCACCGTGGACGTGGAAGGCTCAGGGGTGCTGCTGCTCTGCGCATGCGGAAGGTGCAAAAGTTTTCCCAGCTTTTGCGTTGAAAATCTTGTCGTTGGCAGGGTCAGTCATCGCCGCGAGGAGCTGTGTGCAGACCTGGGCCTTGAACCACTTGGCGTGCTTTTGTGAGAAGCCTGGCGTGCTCTTCTTGGGCACCAGAACCAAACTCGAGCAAAAGGACATCAAACTTCGATGCAGCCAAGGAGCAAATTGCTGTCACTGGAATTCTTTTTGTCAAAATCACGCTGGCTGTCGCAGGCTCTGCTGCTGTCATGAGTGTGACAGCCCGTGGCCGATACCGGCGCAACAAGTCCTCGATCATGTGCGAATGCCTTGGATTCCAAGTGATCGGTTCTCCTGCCACGTTGTCCTTTGCACTTCCATCTGTTCGCTGTTGGTTGTTCGGTTCACCAGCCACGCGGAAGCTTCCAAGCAACTCGTGCTTGAACACAGGTGCCAGCCTTGTCAGCCCTGCCAAATCATGCCGGGGGACCCCGTAGACCTTAGAAACTCGCACGCAAACAAGGGGCGCAAGCTGAGCGCGCCAAACAACCGCGCACTGTTTGGTTTATCCAAGGCGCAGCATCTGAACACACGGTCCCCTCAAAATGTAGGTTCTTCCGGCTTCCCGTGATAGCTTGCAGCTTTTGCACATCCGTGGTGGTCACCAAGACCTTTTCCCGCGCCTCCGAGGAAATCACATTAAAACGCTGAGGCCCTGGCCCCACGCTCAATCGCCGTCCCTGACAGATTCCTGGCCTTCCTGTTCGCAGTTGTCGAGGCCTCAGTGTGGATTAAATTCCACATCTTAGTCACGCCGATGCCCTTGAACAGGTTGTTCCAATGAGAATGCAGGCCTGACCGGCCTCCGTCAAAGAACAAGAACCTAAGATGAGCAACGCGTGGACGGCGCACGCATCCTGTGTTTATCTAATAAGCTAGGCAACACATCCGAAGCGTCTGGGGGAGGCGGCCCGTCCGAGTCGTCAAAGGTCAAAGTGGATTGCCTGTTTCGTGCAAAAAGCACGCCCTTGACCACTTTCTCGAAGTGTTCTTTCTGAAACGGAGGGGGTGACCTCCGAGCGTCGGTGTTATGCTCTCCTGCCTGCTCAACGTCCCAAATGAAAAGTTGGGAACCCTCCTGGCTTCGCGTGTTTAGGAATTCCACCTTCGACAAAGCAAGGATGAGTTTGTCAATCTCTTGGTCAGCCACCGCGACCTGCAAAAGGGAATTGACAAGGTCCTTGGCGGTTGTCTCAGTTTCTAGCAGAAACTCTTTGTCTACAGTCTTCAGAGCTTCAACTGCATGGACAGCCTCAGTTGCCTTGGCTTCATTGGGCTCTGAAAGGCGGATGGCGGCTTTCACAAGGGCGGCGTCATCCAACGCACCTTCGTCCGCTGACTCCGCCTGCGTTGCCGCAGCCGTTTTGTCGGCTTTCTTGGTGAGCTTGTCCCAGATGGGCTTGAGCACCTCGCGCTCGAGAAGGGCATTCACGTCAAAGTTGGTGTGCAACACGCTCTTCACCTTCTCGTCGTACTTCTTGGTGTAAATGAGATCTGCCAGAAATTCCGCAGCCTCTTGACTGGCTGGCTGCAGCGCCCCCAGCCACGATTTGTTGGCCACGACTTTCACGGATCTGCCTCGGCGCCATGTCCAGATCATTACAATGTCATGGGCGACGCTTGAATCACCAATTGCAGTCAAAATGCTAGGGTCAAGTTCATTGTCAGTTCATTGTCAGGGATATTGTCGAGCGTCTCCCGCGAGAAGAGAAGGCCACCAGCCATTGCCTTGCGCCACGTCTCCTGAGTGGAGAGTTTCTCCCGGATGCGTTTTGCGTCCTCACATGGCAGGCTCTTGTGAGCCAACAGCATGTCCAGGATCTCATCTTTCAGGACACTTCCATGCCCACATATGCAACAGCCTCAGAAGCAGTGCGCCCCCATCAATCAAGGCAAAACCTAAGAAAAAAGCAGCAGTGCTAGGAGTCAGGCCCTTTGGAATTATTCCCACGGGGGTTCTTGCCGGCCAACGCCTGGGGGTTGAGCTCGCCTTGCTTGAAGATTTTGTTCAACGCCGCATCCATGAGGGCATCGAACACCCACTTCACGCCAGGCGGTTGCTTCTTGCAAGCAGTGGCAAGGTCTCGCAAAACATATATGGACTTGATGGGACTTCGCTTTCCGAAGAGCTCCTCAGAAAGCAGGACTTCCTCTCGGAAAGAAGTGTCGCTCAGCAAGGAGTTCCACAGAGCCATCAAGACTTCGAGAAAGGACTGCGTCACTGCCTCCCCCGATGTCACCGTCAAGTTGGCAGACAAGATCTCGAAAAGCTTCTTAGTCGTCAGCTTGGTCTTGGAAGCTGATTCGTGATTCAACTTGAAGGACACTATTTGAAAGATGCGTTGCACAGGGCTGTAGTACATGGTCTCGTGGCTGGTCCCAACATCCTGCCTTTGCTTGGCCGCTTCCCAGAACAAATTCAGCCCGGGCTTGAAGCGGCAATCGATCGTGGAAGACAGCCATGCCCTTCTCCATTCCTGCGCTGGCAACTCAATGCTTGGCTAGTAATGTATTTAGGGGCCAAGACAGCGACGGCGCCGGCCTCCTGGAACTTGTCTTGCTGCAAGTCCCTCGCTGTGGCCAAGATGAAGGCGTGATGGTCCTCCTCCGGACTGATCCTCTTCATTTGCCCATTTTTCTGGTCCATAAACAAGTCATCCACTGCCACCACCAAATTTATTGGCTGGGGCTTCTTGTACGTGGTGCGCATGATCCACTTTACGCTGCTCTTGTACACTGGCACACTTGCAGTCGAAGACCATGACCAGCTAACCCACGCTACATTGCCGCCTGCAATGTACTGGTCAGTAGTGGAATCTCCCTCCTTCAAGGCCTCCATCATGGACTGCAACTTGCGATTGTCGAAGGGGTCTTGACGACCGCCCTCCTCGATCGTTTAGGGCTTCATTGACTCAAGGTCCCTGAAAAGATCCGTCCTGAGCAGCAGCGCAGTACTGACTGATGGCATCTCTATTACTGAGGCCCGCGCCCCACAATGAGTTCCCAAGCCTTCCTCACGTCATCGTAGTGGGAAGCGCTTATGTTCCGGCATTGCACCGGGCTTGAGCTTGCCGAGGATGTTGATTGAACCATAGCAGTCTGCACCTCGCTGCGGTTACGCAGCTGGCACCGGGGGCCTCAAATAAAAAACACTGCGGATGATCCTTAATCTGAAAACTGCGGATGAGCCTTAATCTGAAAGCGCGGGCCACGCTCTGTGAAAAGTCGAATTTGATCCGCGTCAGCAACGCTTCCGTTTTTTGTTTACCCCGGTCAATTGTTGCAGTCGCGGAGCACCAACCCAAAGCAGGGCCATCGTCCCAGCAAATTAAACAGGAGCAGCTCTTGTCTTAATATCTGTGGCTCCACAGTTACTAGGCCCAGCGGATCAACCTAGCTGCCGTGAGCACCGCCCTCATTGCCTCCCTCAGGACAGGAACCGACATGGCGTTGCCCACCATTTTGCCTCTCTTGGCGCGGGACACACTTTTGGGCCAGCGGAAGTTGTGGAATCCCTGCAAAGCCGCCAGCTCCTTGAGGCTGAGATAGCGACTTTCCTTAGCACAGGCTGTAAGCGGGCTGCGGGCTGCGCAACTCGCCACACTTGATTATTTGCACTCGCTAAATCTGGTTTGGACAAGAATCGTTGTCGAGCCAGAAGTTGTCGCCGGAGGCTCGTGCACATGTGATTGTGGGAACATAGCCCGAGGTGACCTGCCGGAAGTTTTTCCCGGCTCCTGCGTCGATGATGTCCATGTCCAGATTCCAAACACCCTTCGCCTTGAGCTTCTTCCTTCCTGCCAAAATGTTGTTCCGCTTGGTTTTGCAAAGCTTCTTGATGTCCACCTTGGGAAGCCCCTTCTCCAGGAAGTCGTCCAGGCAAGCGAACTTGCTTTCAGGCAGCGAGTGGACCATATTTGGTTTTCTGGTTTTCACACCCTTGCGCGTGGACCTCCTGGCGCCCATGATGTAGATCCTCTTCCGGTTCTGCGGAAGCCCGAAACTGCGGCTGTTCACCATTCGCCAGCTCACAGCATAGGCCCGCTTCTGCGACCCAGGAAGCCGACATTCCTTGAGCTGCTGCAGTAGTTTGTTGAAGTGCTTCCTGTGCTTCTTATTCCGGATGCCCGTCACATTCTCCAGCACAAATCCACGCGGTTGCATGCGGCAGATGTAGTCCACCACAGCCTTTGATAAATCACGTTGGTCGCATTTCCCCTGCCCGACGCCCGCCGTACCTCGGAAGGAGCAGACTAAGCAAAGACCTATGTGCAAAAATAACAGAAAGTAACCCAAACTCGGTTGAAAACAGCTACTTGTTCTGGCAGTCTGCTGTATGGTTGGCACGGAAACCCAGCTGTGTACAAGTCACACTTCTCGCAAACATTTCCAAGAGCATATCCAAGACTCCTCGGTCCCTTTTTGTGGGAAAGAATCTCCTTTCGGCAATCTGGGTCCACATCGGTGGCAAACTGAACCATGAACTCAATCCCCAGTTGCTTCGCTGCCACAACATCAGTTCCCATGCCGCTGCAGTCGCTCCCAAGCATGATTGGCCACTTGCGCTGGCAATGTGACTCCACCTTCTCCACGCGAGGAGGCTTCTTGCCTTCAAGGATGTCTTCCCCATGCTTCACGGACTTTCTGCGGCAACGCAGCAAGTCAGCTGAAGAAGCAACTGGAGGAAAGCTGGCTGCGGGGCGAAGCGTGAAACGGCTTGACGGGCAGACAGAACACATGAGCACACCAGACAACAGACAACAAGACGTAGTAGTCTCGGCTTGGGGCTTAATTGCACATACCCCCCAAAACAAATAGCAGGTCAGCCCGATTTTGAGCCGCAGGGCCAGGGGGTTCCGTACCCCCTGGCACTGCAAGTTCTGATGCATCAGAACTCGCAGTGCCAGGGGTTACCCCCCCATTTTCGAGCCCCGAGTGCCAGAGGGTTCGGAACCCCCCGGCACTTGGGACTCGAAAATGGGGGGGTAACCCCCGGCACTGCAAGTTCTGATGCATCAGAACTCGCAGTGCCAGGGGGTTCGGAACACCCCGGCACTCGGGCTGTCGGGCCCAAAAGAGCCCGAGGACCCGTTTGAAAAAGCATAAACGACTTAGACTCAAAAATCTAGTGCGTCAGAACTCGCAGGGGCCCAAACTCTAGTGCATCAGAACTCGCAGGGACCCAAAATCTAGTGCATCAGAACTCGCAGGGGCCCAAAATTCTGATGCATCAGAATTGTTCATTTGGCAGACACAGGGAGCAACACCAAAAACCAGGCTTGCGTGGCAGTAAGCGCTCAAACAAAACTCCCACAAAATGGAGGATTTTTCGGCTGACCGGACCCGCGCATCAGCCGGGACAAGGTTCCCCCCACCCCCCCACGGCTTTGTACACTGTTTAACTCCCAGCGCTTCAAGAAGCACTTTCCGTCATCAGACAGCGAGCCATCGCATAGACGTGTTTCTCTCTGGTATGACGCGAGGCAGTGGCAGCCCTCTTCCCCAGTCTGCAGATTCTGTGCAGCGACCAATGCTCGTCATTGGCGGCTGTGACCCACGCAGAATCGCTCTATTGCCCCAAGAGCTCCCCACTGTGCCAATGTATGGGCGTTGAACATCTTTGTGGATGTCAGCACGGACTTTTCCTGCACAAGTCCTACACTCACATAGTTCTTCTTGGTCTTGGCAGCTTTGGCTGCGTTCACCCAGGTGGCAGCCTTGTCCTCAGTTCTGTTACCAGGGGCGCGCCGCTCCAAACAAGGCAAACGGGACACGGACAGGACGACAAGTGTGCCACAGCCAGCCAAGGCCCGCACGTACACTTTCCAGTTGAGCTCTTGCATGCGTGTTTGTGCCAAGACAGCGAATCGCGGATGACGTTTGCGAAATGATGGCGTAATGAGCACATGTCTTCGGGCGCCCTTGGCTGGCCCTTTGTATTTAACCCAAGGCCCAAACCCGGTCTTGATCGCAGCTTGGCTTACGATAAGACCACCAGAGAGTCGCATTAGCCATGAAGCTCGAGAGCCAGGTTTTGCGACATTGTTCACACAACGCCTTCAGCCAAGAGATAATCATTGACCACCAGGGCACCCAAAGAGTGGAGTTTCTGGTGCAAGTCAGTAGAGTCTGCCTCCTCTTTCGCGAGCAATCGCCTAAGACAACTTGCAAGAACAAAGGCGCAAAAGCAAATTCAAACGCCAAGGCGCATATTGGCCAGAGCTGGAAGTTCAGGCTGACTCCGCCTGCGTTTCCGCAGCGAGCTTTCGAGCTGAGCTTGGTGGTCAGCTTTCCTCCTACGCTCCAAGCATTGGCTGTGCTCTGCTGGACGAAGCTGCTCTTGCCGCAGCAGCAGGTCGTCTTGCTGAGCTTGAAAGCACGTCTTTTCTTCAGCTCCGACAACTTTTTGGTCGCTTCCTCGTGCTTGGTGGAAATTGCATTTCCAGCTGCCTTGCGGGAACTTTTGCTCAGCCGCAGCATGTCCCGAGGGGCATCGTTCAGCTTTAAGCATCGCTTCACACTCTTCCGGCGTCGAGCTATCCACGCGGCTTCCGAAACAGGATTTCTTGTTCGTGCCTTGGCCGGCAAGGTGTGCAAAGCGAACTCCGGCAAGTTAAAAAAAAGCTATGTGCCGCCAAGCGTCCTGCCGGCTTGCTTCTAGTCGAAGACCGGAAACAAACTTAGGTTTGCGAGCGGACCCAGAGGATCTTTCAGAGCCGAAGCCTTCCTGCCAAATCTTTTGGGCAAGCATAGCAACTGCACCACGAAGACTGTTCTTGTCCCACTGGCAAAGCCGCCTCTCGAACGCCTTGAAGTAAGGGCCTAAGAAAGCCCTGTCGCGTGCAGTGTGGTACTTGATATCTGCAAAGTCACGCTCGCTCTGCGCAGTTCCAGCCGCCGATGCCAGCAAGACACGGGCAAGTGTTTTAGACATGTCCGGGCAGCGGCCGCTGAAACTTGACTCTGCCAATGTCCAGGCTTGCAAATCACCCAACTCTTCCGACTTGGACAGTTGTTTTCCTGGGCAGAGCATTGGAAAGCGACAAGCAAAGCAGGACAAGCAATATGCACCGTTAAACAAACTCAGAACCGGTCGGGGGCGTTGGGCAGTAGGCTTTAAGTCTTGGAACTGTTCATAGAGCTGCTTAGAGTTCGCGTCGAACATCTGGGAGAGCCGCAGAAGACAGCGCTGTGTTTCCGCAGCGCTCTTTTGGGGGCCGCTGAGCGAAAAGGCTGACAAGGTGTGGATCAGTTCAAAATCAGGAAACTCTGTCTTGATGGTCTGCGAGACAAGGGCGAGCCATGCAGCCATCCTTGCAAAGCACCTGTTGAAAACGATCGGCGAAACGCTGCCTCCCACACTCCTGTGCCCAGCGCCCAGGTGAATCAAACGAGGTCTTTCCAGCCACTTCAGCACCTGGCAGTCAGATCAAGTCTTTGAAGCTCTGAAAACTTATCACGGGCTTCGCGACTCAGTGCTGTCTAGAAGCGTGCTGTGTGTAACCACTGGAGGTGGCTGTTTTCTGCACGAAGAGCACATGCAGCCTTTGAGCAAAGGTTGTCAAGCAGGTTTGCGCTGCACTCATGTCCATCTGGCTCTTGTCAAATTTGCGTAAAATTCTGATCTCCTCATCAGCAGCGTCAGCCATCATAGCCATTTGCAGGTACACCTCTGTGGATATAGACTCCAGGAACTTCTTGGCAACCCTTCGGGGTTTCGCGTTGGTCTTTACTCGCAATATCCTTAGATTTGCAACACAGTTTTTCTTTGAAATGGCGACATACTCAAGCAAGCCTGATGCCTACTAAGTCTCTCGTGAGCTGTGGCCAAGAACGCATCCGCAAGAAGGATAAATCGCCCCATCGGCTTCTGCAGAGAAGAATGAC